TCTCCTTTTTGAGTGCCGCTGTAATGGAAAGAGAAAAATACCTCTTATATTGACGAGTCAAGACTTCTTCAACTGCATTAAGATAAGCAAAAGTCATTTCAACAAGCTGGTCATTAATGGGGCACAAAGTTGTAATAGATTTTAAAATATTTGGAACAAACGTTGTCCCAAAAAAATCCATCTTTCTGCAGAATAGTGCAGCTGGATTAGATTTGCAATTAGTAATTTTTTTTAGAATATTTTTTACTACTTGGATACCAGTGACATGATCAAAACTTGCATCATCAGCTGATACATAAAACTTAGTCATCCATGGTCCACTGAGAAGTTTACTAGATAGTGCAAGCACTCCCATTTGTTTTATAGCAGTTGCATTACAAAATGCTTCTCGCAGAATCGGTTGTAAACTGAAACATTTTACTGTTCCAGTGGTCAGATAATGTAAAAAATCAGTATAGTGTTTCATAAAAATGAAGCAAGTATGGAAAAGAATGTGCAGACGGTTTCCACGATACCGTGGAATAATACCGCGTGGTAGTTTGTTTTTGTCTAAAAAATTTACAAAACCTTGTGGATCACCTTTGCCATCCTTAAACCTCATCTTATTCATTGCTAACACAACTTTGACTGCCATACAATCATATCCAAACAATTCGCAACGTTCAAATTCTAGAGATTTCAAAACATCGCGACATGAAATGGCAATAGTGTCCAGAGGGTGCAAATGACAGTTTAGCTCATTCAAATTCTTTCCCCAGGTATTACAAATTTTGGAAATGGTAAGATGATTAACTGATACTTTGTCAGACATTGTGTTGGATATATTTGATATGATTGAACTACGACATTCATTAAAGGGAAGCGAATGAAAATCTGAATAAATAAAAGCTAAATGATCAACTGCACCACATATATGGCTTTCATAATCAACAGCTGTTCCACCTGGTAAATGGTCAAGAGCAATGACTTGACCAGTTACCAGGTGTTTTTAAATGTCAGATGAACAGTGTTGATATGAACACCTTCTTGTGTTGTTGCGTCAAATCCAAGAGTAAGATAAGAATTACTCATAGCCCATTCTGCTGCTTGCAGTTCTGCTATACTGCCAAGCTCCCGAGCCATTTGTTCAATAGTACAACGATGAGGAATATTTGTAAAGTTAACACCTAAATATTGCCTAATTTTTGAAATTAGGAATCCAATATTACCTGTTGGAACATTGGCTAATAACATGCCATAAATTATCATCCTCATTTTTAAAGGGTAACTCTTATCGTCTTCCGACATATTAACATTTGGAATTTTTCCATCTTTTATCTGGAAAATGTCATTTTCTAATTGAGCAATAATTATCTTGTTTGCCTTATCATCATTATTATGTTTTACTTTTATTTGCATTAAGTTATTTTTTTTTTATTTTCAACGCCTTTGTTTTTGCTTTAAGATTGTGTAATAACCTACTGTAATGATAAGTTTTAATTTGTTTTTTTAGTTCTCTAACTTCTATCCTCAAAGCTTTAATAATATCTTCTTTTCTTTTGATATTTTTCCTGAATATTTTTAACTTATATGACTTGCAACTGTATTTCGATTTAACTTTTGCTACTTTTTTCCTGTGGTCTCTGGTTGAACTAGCCAACTGAGAAGAAAAATATGATAACCTAGTGATGAGTTTGGCTTTCTTTGGGGTTAATTCTTCTCTAGATGCATGCAATCTTGTTTCATTTTTTATGGAACTTACAAGCGAAATTGGTTTGTCATTAACTAGAGGTAAAACAGCAACATGTTCATGGGATGACATAACAGAAGACTCTGAAACAGCAATCAATGAACTACTCTGATTAAGATTGTCTTTTGTCAATGACACATTTGGTAAACGGTGTGCAAAGGGCTGATTACAAAATTCAATAAATTTTGAATAATCCCTTACATAATTTGTAGTCCATTTTTTTGAAATGTTGATAACATTATAGAGTTTATGTTTACTAGTTTTTAAGTTAAATAACTCATTGGCTTGTTTAAGTGTATTAACAATGGACTCACCATTATTAATGAATAAAAAGATTAAATGTCCGTTTTGACAGTGTGTATGTATTTCGCCATGCAAAGTGAAATTTATAGCTAAATCTTTTTTCACTGCATCCGGAAACATACCTCCACTATTTTTTGGACCCATAACTCCTTTAAAAAGTAGATATAAAGAGTTAATATATTATAGTTTTAATTAAATTTTTTTCAAAAGTAAACAAATAATATATATTGATTTGATAACAATTAATAACATTATAATACAACAAAAAAATATATTAAATAATATAGACATAAAAAATTTCATACATACCTTCTACAAACAAGTAATGGTTACAGCAAACTAGTATTTCAACCTCAATAATGTAAATATAATTTTTAGGAACTGTAAACATAAGTTAAACTAGTTTAAAATCAAATAAATGTTACTTAAGTCAAACAAATAGTTTAAATAAACTAAAATAAGAATAGTAATTAAGTATGCAAAAGTCTTTTCACATTTATCAAATCTATAAAAATAACACATAAATTTAAAACTGTATTTGATATGGGCTTTGAAATCCTCAAAAAATCCTAATTGTATTTAAAAGTCTATAACTTTTTATAGTTACATCTTTACTACTGTTTATACTACAACTTTTAATCACATTGAAAACATAGAAAATATTTCTCTTACAAACTATTACACTTGTTGATGCTTCTTTTTTAAAATATTTTCAGAAAAAATTTTAAATAACTATTTCAAATGTTAATAATTGTAAAGATTGAGACAAAATGGAAAACAAACTTGATAATATTACATATACATTTTAAATAAAAACAGGAATGGTGGCGCCTAATAATTGTGTATGCCACCATTCACAAAAAGGCCTCCACCATTCCATCTGCGCCCACGATCTCCTCCACGATGTTTTCTTTTTCTTCTCCCAGCACCTCTGTTAGGAGGATGATAGGCCCAGCTAAATGACTCACTACCATTCCCTCCTAACTGGACCCATCACAAAAATGACCGATTGCTCTTGGTCCAGGGTGCTGGTACCTATACCTCCTATACGCACCATATTTAAGCTCTAAAATATATTGTAAATAATTAGTACTGAATGGAATTATGTAACATTTAATATAAACCAATTATTTGTGAAAGTGATTGGCTGAATAAATAAAATGAACAACTAACAAATCAATCATAGCTTACAAAATGTTAATCAAAGTAAAAATGTAATTATTGCTCTGGTTTTTACTTCTACTGCACTTTGAAGGATAACATAACACAAAAGTATAGCAGTATAAGTATAATACACTAGTATTATGAATATTAGAATTATTATGAATTAAATAATCATTCAAAAACATTTCTAAATTATAAATTTACCAGCAGATGGTTGTGCAGGTTGTGGAGAAGGTTGTGCAGATTGTAGAGAAGTTTGTGGAACTTTAGGTAAAAAAGTTGTAATAAAAGTAAATTTTGTTTGCAATTGATAAGAAAGGCATGTACATATTAAAAATAACATTTTTACACATACATTAGGCATACACATATAAGAAAAAAATAGTTTTTTAAACTTACCACTTGTAGCAGCTGAAGATGTAACTAAAGGTTAACAAAGTTGCAATAAAAATTGCAATTGCCAAGAAATGCATAAACATATTGAAAAAAATAGTTTAGTTTACATACCAGTTATAGCAGATGTAGATGGAACTAAGTGTAATAAAAAAATTAAATTGATACGAAATACATACATATATGAACAAGTTTTTTGTAGGATACAATAAAAATATTTTAAATCTTAACACTCAAATCAGTTGAAGATGGAACTAAAGTTAAAAAGTTTTAATAAAAAATAAATTTGCAATTGTCGAGAAATGCATACATATTAAAATGTAATAATTGTTAAACTTACCACTTGTCACAGATGAAGATATAGCTAAAGGTAAAAAAGTTGTAATAAAAAATAGATATTGAAATTAATGACTATGAAATTAGTATTAAATCTATTTACAGATTAGAAACTACTAGCTTTTAAAATTACTAACTGTAGCAACCGATGAAAGGAGTGACGAATTAAAATAATATAAATTAAACCAAAACATACATGCTTATATTTGTTATTCTATAATCATTACTAAAAGTTATCCTAAACAAACTTACCAGTGGTAGGCTGTGTAGATTGGACTAAAAACAACAAAAAAATTTTACAATTACACAAAACACTATGAAATAGTCAACATTAAGTTACAAAAGCAACAATCAGTTCAGTGTAAGTTGCAACTATTTTTTTAACAAAGTGAACATAAACAATAAAAATATAGCAATGAAAATATAAAGAAAATATGCTTATAAACAAGAAGCTAACATTAGGAATGGTTATATACTTTGTTTATATATTAATTATGTTATATTGATTGTGGTTATATATAAATTATGTGATTTATATATATATATATATATATATATATATATATATATATATATATATATATATATATATATATATATATATATATATATATATATATATATATGTATATATCTTTGTAAAATATTACTTAACAATCTTTTTTCATTTTACACAGTGTTTCATCAATTAAGACTCATCTTTCATTTCTCATTTCTAATGAGTCTTAATTGATGAAACACTAAGTAAATTAAAAAAGATTGTTAAGTGATTTTCTACTAATTTAAATTGCTCTGTTCATAATATAATATAATATAAGTAGTTCTAAAATTCAAAAAATTCAGTTTAATTAAATTTTGACGTATAAATTGAAAAAAAGCAACAGGTATAATAATAATAATAGTAATAATAATATAAATACGCTTTTAGTTTATTATTGTTGAATTGAATGTTTTAAGGTTAGCAACAACAAAATGGGAAATTTACTATTACGTAACTCTACTAATAATATAGGTAAATGTTTTATTTTAATTTTAATTTTTTTTCTTTTTTCTCAATTTTTTTATTTTAAAACTATTCTGAACAAACTTTTTAGACAGTGTCTAATGTTCTAAGTAATAAGTATTTTATGAGATTTTATTATTTTTGTACTTTGTTATTATATTTGTACTTATAAATTTTTATGTTAGTACTATAATATTTTTTTATTATTTTAGTTTATATTTACTTTCCTTTGTGCTACTTAATTGGCAACGTTTTTTTTATAATTTTTTTTTTGGTATAATATTTGCACTAATTTTTATTATGTAGTTTGTTAGTTTTATGGGGAATAATTTGAGCCTTATAAGAGAATTACCAGTTCAAGGTGTGTGTTGAAGCAGTTTCTTTTAAAGTCATAGGTCTGAGACTTTGACATGCACAGGTTTTTATTGTGGATTCTCTAAGGTATCACTACATTGGCTAACAGTTTTTTACACTGATTTTGACAGGACTGACCTTGCTCAATATTTTATAAGCTAGTAAAATTTAAAATCTTAGATTCTCCATACACTGAAGTATAATTCAATCTAGGCTCTTTGATGTAACACTAACATTTATTATTGTGGGTAGAACATATTATTTTGGATTGTATATTTACTCCTCACGCTGATCTCTGATTTGACTAAGCACAACAAAGCATACAGCAAGGATTTACACATACCAATCGATTTGAAAAACCATATTAGATGTATTAAGTACAAAAACATATTTTATTATGCATTTTGTAAATGTTTTTACTTTTAAATAATATATAACATGTTTGGCTTACTTTTTAAAAAATACTGCTGATAAGTATGTCTAAGAATAATTAAATCAATGCATGGTTAAGCTATTTTACAAGTAATCAGACAGGATTATAGTGTTTAAAAATTATGACTTGCTAATTCAGTTATCTTTCAGTAAAATAATGACCCAAACAATATAGCCAAAATGTTTAATATTTTTGTTTAGCAGTTTTAAAATATTTTTTATATTGATATCAATTAATTAATATGTTTTTGCAATTCAAGGCAGTTTATAAACAGTGTAATTTTTAATTATTTAAGATCATTGATGTTATATCTAACATAAGTTTATAATCATTTAGTTACAGTTAGTTCACTGAATATGTTTTCTTCAATATATTAAACTGAGAGAAATAAATTAGGCTTCATAAGATTTTAATTTTTTTTATATTTGTATGTTTATAGTTTCTAACATACAGATGATAATTTATAACATACTAGCTGTCTGGACCAGTAACATACAGGTCATGGTGAGTCTGTTCCTCATTGACCATTTCTATAATTATTTTCTATATGGTCTCTTTTTTTCTATACTTTTCAGTAAATTTAATTGATTGTGTAAACACTTTAATACAGTATCCTGAACGTAAATGACAGTTCTCCCAATGTTTTTCAAAATGTAAGGCTGTTATAAAATTTCAACCCTCCCATTAAGATCCCTTTCCCCCCTTGTATGTGACTGGTAGATGAGGAAAGTTAAGAGAATGTAATCAAGATTTTAAATCAAAAGGAGCTTTTACCAAAATGATAAAATGCTAAGTAAAAGTTTATATTCACTAATATAGGTATATATATTTATTTACCTTTAACAAAACAGCAATTGCAAAGAAAAAAAAACAAAAATGTCCTTTTAACAAAATTATTTTACAGTTAACAAAGCATAAACTGTTAAGAAATAGGAACAAAATATCTTTTCAGCAAAATTAATTTACAAGCAAAACATAACAAAAGTTCTTATTTATAAAACAACAGAAAACATTTTTTTAAAGCAAAACATAGTTAAACAAAACAAATTTATTTAATTTAATTTATGGATGATTTGGAAAAAATTGTGATGGTTGGAGTCTAGGAACAAAAAAGCCTCAAAATTTTGGCCACTATTGCCCCAAACAAGAGAGCAACAAGTTGATAAAATACTTTTTGTACCATTCTTAAGTAAATCTATACTTATCGATAAATTCTAAATTTTATACAATAATCTCTTAGTGTTTTACCATTGAGAAATAAATGCATATGTATTTTATTCTAAATGTCCAAAATGTACATTATTAATATAAATTTGATTTACTCCGCACAAATTCATATGGATAATATATACCTTCGACAACGTATTCAAAGTCTAAAATTACTAGACCACCTAGGACCGCAAAAGTATTCGGTTATATTAGTGAAATTTTAACTAAAAAAAGTACATTAAATACGCAGTCATGAGAAAGATGACTGCGTACTGTGGTTAATACCGTGAACTGGGACTGTTCACAGTATTAACCCACACCTCATCAACATAAATCACAGTAAAATTGTAACACAAGAAAATTGTAATACAAATTTGTCAATAAATGGGTGTGTGGTATTGTTTGAAAGTCATATATGTATTGTGTCATGTATGTATTTTAAATAAAGTATTATAGGCTTTCATCGATCATTACAATTTCAATATTTCCATATGCTATCAAAAGAACATTTCCATATGCTATCAAAAGAAAGTTAAACTAAACAAGTGTGCTTGGTTTTTGATATTAAAAGATTGTAAGTTTTTGAATAGTTGTAAGTTTTTACAAAACAAAATATTTAATATTTATAACTATAATATACATATACACACATACATATATATATATATATATATATATATATATATATATATATATATATATATATATATATATATACATATATATATATATATATATATATATATATATATATATGTATATATATATGTATATATATATATACACACATATATATATATATATATATATATATATACATATATATATATATATATGTATATATATATATGTATATATATATATGTTTATATATATATGTTTATATATACATATATTACATATGTATATATACACATATGTTTTATATATATTATATAAGTAGTTATAAAATTCAAGAAATCCAGTTTAGTTAAATTTTGAAGTATAAATCGAAAAAAAGCAACAAATATAATAATAATAGTAATAATAATAATGATAGTAATGATAATATAAGTATGCTTTTAGTTTATTATTGTTGAATTGAATATTTTAAGGTTAGCAACAACAAAATGGGAAATTTACTGTTACGTTGTCTTGAAAGATTAGGTATAAGTTTATACTAGTTTTGTTTTATTTTTATTTTTTTATTTTTTCTCAATTTTTTTATTTTGAAACTATTCTGAAGAAATTTTTTTGACAGTGTCTAATGTCCTAAGTAATAAGTATTTTATGAGATTTTATTATTTTTATACTTTGTTATTATATTTGTACTTAAAAATTTTTATGTTAGTACTATAATATTTTTTTATTATTTTGGTTTATATTTACTTTTTTATATTTACAAAAACATATTTTATTATGCATTTTGTAAATGTTTTCAATTTTAAATTATATATAACATGTTTATCTTACTTTTTAAAAAATACTGCTGATAAGAATGTCTAAGGAAAATTAAATCAATGCATGGTCAAGCTATTTTACATGTAATCAGACAGGATTATAGTGTTTAAAAGTTGTGAATTTCTAATTCAGTTATCTTTCAGTAAGATAATGACCCAAACTATATACCCAAAATGTTTAATATTCTTGTTTAGCAGTTTTAAAACTATTTGTTATATTTATGTCAATTAGTCAATATGTTTTTGCAATTCAAGGCTGTTTACAAATAATGTATTTTTTATTATTTAAGATCATTGATGTTGTTGACCAGTTCTATAATTATTTACTCTGTTGAGAAAATAATTATAGAAATGGTCATATATATTGAAAAAAGAGACCATAATTAATTATGGTCTCTATTTCAATATTTTTTAGTAAATTTTTTTGATTGTGTAAACACTTTAATACAGTATCCTTAACATAATTGACAGTTTTCCCAATGTTTTTCAAAATGTAAGGCTGTTATAAAATTTCAGCCCTTCCATTAAATTCTCTTTCCTCTTCCCTTGTATGTGACTGGTAGATGAGGAAAGTTAAGAGAATGTAATCAAGATTTTAAATCAAAAGGAGCTTTTACCAAAATGATAAAATGCTAAGTAAAAGTTTATATTCACTAATATAGGTATATATATTTATTTACCTTTAACAAAACAGCAATTGCTAAGAAAAAGAAACAAAATATGTCTTTTTAACAAAATTATTTTACAGTTAACAAAGCATAAACTGTTAAGAAATAGGAACAAAATATCTTTTCAGCAAAATTAATTTACAAGCAAAACATAACGTAACCAGTCTCATCTACCAGTCACATACAAGGGAAGAGGAAAGAGATCTTAATGGAAGGGCTGAAATTTTACAATAGCCTTACATTTTGAAAAACATTGGGAGAACTGTCAATTATGTTAAGGATACTGTATTAAATTGTTTACACAATCAAAAAAATTCTTATAATTTAACAAAAATTCTTATTTATAAAAGAAGAATAGAAAAAAATTTTTTAAAGCAAAACATAATTTAACAAAAATTCTTATTTATAAAAGAAGAACAGAAAATATTTTTTTAAAGCAAAACATAGTTTAACAAAACAAATTTGTTTTATTTATAATTGCTATATACAATCCTCAGAATTAGTTTCAGCATTTGGCCATGCCAACCTAAAAGTGTGTGAGGTTGGGAAAAAATTGCTGACCTTGTTTCTATGTTTTATGGTAAAACCTTTGTGTCAAACTTTTTTTGCTGACATGATGCCTATCTCTAACAGTTTAAGGTTAGTAATTTATTGCCAGGTGTATGTGATGACTATGCCCCTTTTAAATTTACATGTCATAATTGTGATAGACACTACAAATCAAATTACCTGTTGCTGTTGTTGATGCTGTTGTTACTGCTGTTGCTGCTGTTGTTGTTCAAGTTTCTCCAAACTGTTAATTAAAAAAATTTCAAATTATGGAAATTTACTAAACTTAAGCCATGTCTCAACAGTAACCATGTTTCTTAAACTGTTTCTTAAACTTTAGCCATTTTTCAAACCTAAAAAAGCAGAGCAACAGAATTGAGAAAAAAAAAATATAACAATAAAGAGGATAACATATCATATATCATAGTTAGTATGAATTTTTTTAATGGCGTAACTGGTAATGTTTGCCAATTTCAAAGAACACTTTCATAAAAAATTTTGAAAAGCAAAGCAAGGCAATAGATAAACATTAATTTATCAAAAGTTTCAAAATAAATATTATTGTATAAAAAACTCACAATAGCGCTAACTGAACATGAGTAATAAATACCCTCTTCCAGATTTATTCCATTTTTAGTTTTTTGCAAATAAATTGCATAGCAAAGAATGTCAAAAATTACATAGTGAGGAATGGGAAAAAATTGCATTTTTTTATTAAAATAAAAAAGAATTAAAGCAACAACTAATAACTAATAATGTGGTAGTAACGTGCTCAAATTGTTTCGTTGTGCCTTTGTTTGGCCTTGTTCATCCTTGTTCATCAATGTTCATGTTTTGGAGTTAAAGAGTTGAGAGTGGATTGTTACCAGAAATAAAAATATATTTCATGCTAACAAAATAAATAGTGCATAATAAAAAAAAATATATATATATACATATATATATATATTTGTATGAAATTAATAAAACTTTTAAAGTATTTACTCATGTTTTAAATTTTGTGTCAGGTCAGGTCATCTTGCTACTAGTAACATGTAACCCTGCACAAACTGTGTAATGTCGTGTTGCCTTGTAGGATACAATTTTTTAAGGCGAAGGCTAGGAGAAGATAACTCTGACTTAACACACCCCATGTCTTGGGGCTCTTGTTTCAGTAAAGGCTAGAGACAGAATCTCGATAAAAATACTCATCTTTGTAGAAGGCCTCCAAGGCAAAGACTTAAGGGCTAAACAGATTCTATCTGTTGACCCTAGTACAGTAAAAATAGTCAAATTTTAGTTATTGCAGTGGTTTTTTTTATTTGTTTTTAGTATGACTTTTATTACAGTGTGGTAAGAATGCTATATACTTATCATTCCTCAGTATTGATACCACTCCGAATAATTTATTATTGCCTCAGTTAAAAATTCTATTAGTATTTAGTTTTTTATTATAAAAAAAAATTTATTGATGGTGGACACAAGTTTGGGTAAATAAACACTTATTTAATTTCTTTCGTGCCTTTTAGATTATTATTTTTTTGACCAAAGAGTGTTTTAAAATTTGAGTGTTTTGTTATATGAGCAAAGAGTTTTAGTCAGGGTTAGGATTTTGAGATATGAGCGAAAGTTTAACAGTATGTACAAACTATACATTTACTTCTTTGCCCATATGGAAGAATCTCATAGCTGCACTACTTTGGTCTGTGAGCTAATTTTTGTGTGAATTCTGCAGGATCATTTAGTATTTTGGTTTTAATAAAAGGTCCTAAAAATGGTTTTTGTTGATGACTTTTTTTTAATGCATTTGTTTTTGGTTTGTTAGGAGAAACTACCACAAGTGTTTCCAGAAATCCTGCTCCAACAGGTAATTTTAATGTTTATATTTATTTAAAATTATGTAGCCTTTACTACTTTACAAAATGATTACTAAAAACCAGGTTTCAGCGTGCTTTGTTTGCATAAAAGTACTTGAAAAGTACAGTAAAAATTGTCAAATTTTAGTTATTGCAGTGGTTTTTTTTATTTGTTTTTAGTATGACTTTTATTACAGTGTGGTAAGAATGCTATATATCAAGTTTATTATATTTTCAAGTTCCTTCACATAAAAGTGCACATTAGTAGTTTCTGTTAAATCTTAAAAATTTGATTTTTCTAATTTAATATCGATTTTTTATGTTAGCTTAGTGTACGCATTTTTACATGTTAGCTTAGTTTGGTTGCTTGTTTTATCATTCTTACAAATCATTAAAAATTTAGTTTAGTCTTATTAAAAGCTAAATGAGGCACTATTTTTAGGGAAATGATGGGGACACACTAATTTGTGTCATCATGAGTACAAAATAAATTTTCAAATGAATGTCTCTATGATGTCTTAGTAAACTTGCTCAACTTGTTTAACTGTGTAGTGGTTTTTAAGTTACTTGAGTTTTTGCTATATTATTTTCGAGCTATTGCTTAGTAGATGTAAAAGGCTAGTTTCACATCACCAAAATTGGTCTCTTGATTGCTCTTCCGAGAGGTCTCTCTTGTGGTCTCACATCAAGACTTGATTTCTTTATGGAAATTTCTTTGAGCCCGCGAATTGCTTACTCTTTATGGAGAAAAATTTGACACCCCTAATTTATTACCCTAGTAGAAAAACTTTTCGATTCCCAATTAGAGAACAGCTTGAGCAGTAATATATTTTATTTATTTTTCAATTTTTTTTTTTGGTTTGCTCTGCTGGCCTGCATTCATTAGCCAGTAGTAAAAAAAAGTTTATTTCTTTGTTATCAAATTGTATAAATGTGCATTCATTTTTCTTATTAATTTTCGAAAACCAATTTATAACATCAGTGGTATTTTTCCACTGTTGCAAATTTAATTTTTTCCTGAATAATATTATTTATTTTGTCTAATTTAATTTTACTAATATGTCCTAGTTCACTTTTTGAAGGAACTAGTAGCCTACAGGGGAGTTTATTATGAAAATTGGGTTTATAATCTTTTAGCGTGATAAACGCTTGTGCTGGTGCAACTGACTCAATTCTAGCATCTAAGTTAGTCGTTTTAGCAATGTTTTTCTAAATTATTTGCATTTTCTAAATTTTTAGGGGCTTTTGCGTAATTATTAGAAATATTATCGCGCAATCATTTATGATGGTTATCTGGGGTAATTTGATATATGTTGTTTGTTTTATCAGCAAAAACTAAAATATTAGGGTTTGATTTTATTTTATTAATGTCTTTTCTAAGTTCTTTTTGGAAATCGTTATTAATATTACGAAATTTGATTGTTTTAATCAAGTGTAGTAAATCATTTTCAAAGTTTTCTAGGTTTGGAATTAATGGTGGGGCGTTTTTTGTTTTAAATCCAAAATTTTCTTTTTGGTTATTTTCAATTGAAGGGTTTTTTTCAGATTCTAAGAAAAAATGGGCTTTCCAACGAATTCTTTTAATAAAGTGTTCTATTTTTTCAATTAAGGAAATAGTATAACTTTTTTTGTCTGGGATTGGGGTATTTTTTAGGGAATAATTAAAATTATTAGTTTCCATGTTTATGTTATGTAAGATACAACCATTTAACTTATAAACAAGATATAGCCTTCAATTAAATGCATTTAACTCTGTAGCACATATAGTTATATAAAATAAAGACAGAGGTGTTTGAAAACATAAAACACTAATTTCCGTAAAATTGAAGTTCTTCATCATCCATCTAGCTTAATTCCTAAAAATGCCTTCAAGTCAAAATGCTACATCACTATCAGTTTTAAACTCAATTTTGTTATCAGAATCTTCCTTCCAATTGGATAAAAGTTAAATACGTCAATATATAGTTTATATTTTTTAACTTCAGGTTACGTGGTTGTTATATATGGTTGTTTGACCTAAAATAAAATCATAAATATTTAACAAACATTACGCTCTGCTTCTAAATTTGTATAATAAGCAAACTAAATTTTTTACATATTATTTTTATTCGTATATTAACTTTGTTTTTTTGTCTTTTTAAAACATCATAACACTTATCATTCCTCAGTATTGATACCACTCCGAATAATTTATTATTGCCTCAGTTAAAAATTCTATTAGTATTTAGTTTTTTATTATAAAAAAAAATTTATTGATGGTGGACACAAGTTTGGGTAAATAAACACTTATTTAATTTCTTTCGTGCCTTTTAGATTATTATTTTTTTGACCAAAGAGTGTTTTAAAATTTGAGTGTTTTGTTATATGAGCAAAGAGTTTTAGTCAGGGTTAGGATTTTGAGATATGAGCGAAAGTTTAACAGTATGTACAAACTATACATTTACTTCTTTGCCCATATGGAAGAATCTCATAGCTGCACTACTTTGGTCTGTGAGCTAATTTTTGTGTGAATTCTGCAGGATCATTTAGTATTTTGGTTTTAATAAAAGGTCCTAAAAATGGTTTTTGTTGATGACTTTTTTTTAATGCATTTGTTTTTGGTTTGTTAGGAGAAACTACCACAAGTGTTTCCAGAAATCCTGCTCCAACAGGTAATTTTAATGTTTATATTTATTTAAAATTATGTAGCCTTTACTACTTTACAAAATGATTACTAAAAACCAGGTTTCAGCGTGCTTTGTTTGCATAAAAGTACTTGAAAAGTACAGTAAAAATTGTCAAATTTTAGTTATTGCAGTGGTTTTTTTTATTTGTTTTTAGTATGACTTTTATTACAGTGTGGTAAGAATGCTATATATCAAGTTTATTATATTTTCAAGTTCCTTCACATAAAAGTGCACATTAGTAGTTTCTGTTAAATCTTAAAAATTTGATTTTTCTAATTTAATATCGATTTTTTATGTTAGCTTAGTGTACGCATTTTTACATGTTAGCTTAGTTTGGTTGCTTGTTTTATCATTCTTACAAATCATTAAAAATTTAGTTTAGTCTTATTAAAAGCTAAATGAGGCACTATTTTTAGGGAAATGATGGGGACACACTAATTTGTGTCATCATGAGTACAAAATAAATGATGTCTTAGTAAACTTGCTCAACTTGTTTAACTGTGTAGTGGTTTTTAAGTTACTTGAGTTTTTGCTATATTATTTTCGAGCTATTGCTTAGTAGATGTAAAAGGCTAGTTTCACATCACCAAAATTGGTCTCTTGATTGCTCTTCCGAGAGGTCTCTCTTGTGGTCTCACATCAAGACTTGATTTCTTTATGGAAATTTTTTTGAATCAAGATCAGCTGCTTGTTCTAAGCGATCAAGAACAGAAGTCTTTTTGTCAAGACAGGAGTATAAAGTTAAGTCATCAGCAAAAAGAGCTAATTAGATGGAAGGTTGTCAGGAAGATCGTAATGTAGATAAGAAACATAACAGGGCCCAGCTCAGAACCTTGAGGTACCCCGGACGTTACTGGAAATAAAGAATAGTTATAGCCTTTCAGGATGACGTTAATTAGAAAGGTTAGAAAGAAATGTTTTGATAATCTTAAAAACTTTCCCAGACTCACCGTATGAAGGAGGCTTTTAGAGAAGACCACTATGCCAAACTTTGTCGATAGCTTTAGATATGTCTTGAGCAATAGCTGTAGTCTTACCGCCTCCATCTAATGCTCAATTAAATCTTTTAGCTACAGCAGTTTGCAAGTCAGCTATTGAGCAAGAGTATTGAAAACTGTATTGATTGTCTGACAGTAGTTCATTTGACTCAAGATCTGATGTGTTGATCAAAGACTCAAAGACCTTACTAATAACAGACAAAAGACTGATTGGACAATAGTTGGAGGGATCAGAATGTTCTTCAGAGTTTTTTAAATTGGAACAACAGATGCCATCTTCCAGCAAGCAGGAAATCAAAACTCTGTCAAGGACTTTTTAAATAGTTTTGAGAGAATTGAAGTAAGTTCCTGAGAACAATTCTTTAAGTCTATGACAGGAAAGTTGTCTTGACCACAAGCTGTAGAAGAGTTTCATTGAGATGTGACTTTAGCAACAGAATCCGGAGTGATTCGAATGTCTAACAATGGGTCAACTTGTTTAGCTGGAATGGTAGGAAGAGAATGGCCATAAGATTAAAGAGTGGAATTAGAAAGAAAATTTCTTTGAAAGTAGTTCTGCCTTATTCTTTGAAGAGGCAATAAGATCAGTCCCATGATTGCGAGATGGAATGTTAGACCTACCCTTGTTAATAATGCTGTTGAAGGTTTTCCAAAAGTCTTTAGAGCCTAACTTCTGTGATAAGATGTGAGATTTAGTGAACTGAGAATAATAGAGTTTAGCATCAGAGAGCACCTTTTTACATTGATTTCTTGCAATAATAAATAGCTGTTTGTTCTCAAGAGAGTTGTTCTTTTGAAAAAGATGAAAAAAATGATTACAATTAGATATAGCAGCTGCAAAAGAAGGTGAAAACCATGGAGTAGAATGAGGCTTTACTTGAAACTGACAAGAAGGAATAAAAGCTTCCATTCCTGCGTGAATCCAGGAGGTTATGTAGGAGGTGCATTTATCAGCTTAGAGTGAAAAAACATCAGCCCATGGACCATCACGAAGAAAATCACGAAAGGAATTCCAGTCAGCTTTAGGGTAGTAGTAGTTGGTGCGATGATAAGGTGAGCCTGAAAATTTAGCATGAGAGGAAAGATTTATAGAGATCATTGCATGTTCAGAACCACCTAAGGAAGAAACTGAACATAAGCTTAGGTCAGAGACAAGACATAATTCAAGGAGTGAAGGTAAATGATTAGGGTTGTCAAGAAAACGTGTCACAAAGTTAACTATTTGAGTAAGAGTTTGAGAAATACAGAAATTGTAGGCTTTAGTGCCATCAGGATCAGTAGTGTTAGAGCTAAGCCATTCAGAGTGATTGGCATAAAAGTCACCAATAACAACAACATTAGCAGAGGGGGAAAGAGAGAGGGCATGGTCAATTTGATTAGAGATAACATCAAAGGAGTGCAGTCATGGGAAGAAGGAGAGCGATAAAGAACAAAGAGAAAAGCGATAGAGTGAAGAGTGCTTGGCGAAAGCAAATAAAAGAATGGTTAAAGGATTAGTACCTGATTTCACGACAAATAGGGGAATTAATGTGTATGTATACCCCCAAACCTAGCATGTGACTGTTGGAGTCTTTACAAGTCAAAGGATAGTACCCTTCAAAACTGACATCTGTAGAAGGAATTGCAGAATTTAGATTTGTCTCACTATGAGCAAGCAAGTCTGGTGAATTTTGCAGGAGATTAGATTGAACTGATAGAAAGTTGCTTCACAGACCACGATTATTTATAAAAGATATATTAAAATAGTTAGGTGGTGGAGATGGTTTTTTATGTTTAAAGTTTTGGCATGATTTAGGTTTATTAAACTTGATTCATTTATAGATAGAGAACACCCTCCTTAGCAATTAGCAATGCAGTTGTCACAGTCATGTTAATTAACCCTAAGTCATGGCGTACGGCTCTCTATGTGGCTTTGACAATGCACACCAAAAGCATTAACAGAGACACCATCCATGCACAACATGGCGCTGTTAATACTCTGATTTTTTGCAGCTGTTGATGGAATCAGCCTCTCTGAGAACTACCACAAAGTTCAGGAAACCTTACTACCAGCCAGCGTCAGAACACTTAAACTGAGTTTTAGAGCTGTACCCTCTTAAGCAGATAACAGGAAGAGTTGCATAGCCATTATCAAGGAGGCATAAGAAAAGATCCATGAGTAGAGTCAAGAAGAACAGCATTCTTCATCCTAGGAAGGAAACAATGTAACACAGGTTATATCTACGCCAGCTTAATAGATGAAGAAGAGGTTCGAGGCTGGTTAGCAGAATTTTTCTGATTACACCTAAAGTCTTTTACCTAGGAGGCCTTCTACAAGGCAGTAGCTGGATGCAGTTAACATCTGCCCAAGTTGACTATTTTTTTCCAGTCACCACCTCTAGCTTTTACTCAACCATGAACCCTAAGGCAGGGGAATTTTTAGTCAGAGTTTATTTGTCTTAGCCTTTGTCTAAGTAGAGCACACTCTGCAAGGCACCACAGCTTGTGGCAGGTGGTACTGGGTTTTATGATACCAGTAGCAAGCTGATCTTGATGATCCTGACCTGACCTGGAATAGTTAAAAGGAGTTACTTCCCGCAAACAGTACTTTAAAAACACCAGGCATGACATTTTGGAAGTGCAATAGGAAAGACACTGCATCTTACGAAATACAGGAGTCTAAGGTGAGCGTAGGTTTTATAGATGGAGTAAGTAGTTTGTTACTGAGCTCACGCTGCATCAAAGAACACAAACATACATAAAAAACATAAAGTAACTTATGGGTGAGCAAACACCGCTGCAGGGGTCAGACAGAACGCAAACATACATATATAAAGTAGATTACAGGTGAGTTAATACAGTAACTAAGGCACCTCCAGCTGTATAAAAAACAAGCTGACAATAAAAGAAATAATAATATAGGCATGACTGATATAAGATAGTAATGATGATAGGAAGCACAATTCTTCGAGCCTTTGCTAAGAAAGTAGTTCAGGGAACAGGTTGCACTGGGTTACATGTTACCAGTAGCAGGATGATCATGAAGACATTACTCCTGACCTGACAGTAAATGTTCATTTGTATTTGTGTTGTGCTCAACTTTTTATGGATGAGGTTAGCTTTAACATAGAGAGAACTAACTTGTTTACTTGTATGCAGTATGACAAAGGATATCTTTGTCATCCTGATGACAAAGGATATCTTTGTCATCCTGCATATTGTTTGTGATCAAATGACCCAGACGTAGTATATGTTAGAATCATGTAAGGTAATGTGAAACAAGGACTATTTGCAAGGGGTTCATAACTTTTAAAAAGCATTATTTGAGACTTAATATTGTTATAACCTATATCATGTTTCACAGAATACTCACAGCATAGGTCAAGTAAGATCTGGAGACCTTTAGCAGATGGTGCACACAGGAAAATAATGGGGAAGAACCCAAACAGCAGCCTATAGAAGTTTTATTGAGTAGAACACAAGGATCATTAATATAACTATTAAATAGTAGAGGAGACAGTACATCACCTTGTAGCACTCCATTATTGGTGGTAAATGTTTTGGATAATATGCCATCCCATAAAATCTGAGCTGTTTGACCAGTATACCAAACAATGAGTAAGCATAAAGTAACACCAGAGATAATTTTGGAGAGTTGTATAAAAAGTGTGTCAAAGCAAACTCTATCAAAAGTTTTACTAATGTCAATGAATGCAACATGCATATTTGAGTCATGTGACAAGTAAAAATTTAAAATATCTTTTAAAATAAAAACAGGCATAAAAGTGGTTTTTCTTAAATCCAATTTGATTGGGAGTCCCATTGAAACTTTAATTAACATGTGAGACAAAAATATGTTCCAAAATTTTGGAGAAAATTGTAACCAAAGTGATTTGACAATAACTAGCAAAGATGTTATCATCATATTGCTTTGGTTAGAGACCATTCTTATCTTTAACCACAGGAGAAATAACAGTGTGAAGCACCAATAGGCATGTTTCCATTGCA